TTGATTAGCAATATCTTAAATATATTTAATTAATTAATTAAAATTTTTGAAATTTTTGTTTGGTATGAAAAATTCATTTTTCAATAATTATAATTAATTAATTATTGATTATTTTTTTAGTACCATAATTAATAAATATATATACACATATAGCTAAAAATGTTAAGCTTACACATATACTACGCATGTGAAACATGAGTCACATTTGTTGGGTCATGTACGCATGACTCCCCTGTCCCACACCTTACTAATAATTGAGATCGGTAAATAACATTGCTTTCATAGTTTGAGAAATTGAAAAGAATTTTTACCGAAAAAAATTGGCTCTTAGAAGTTAAGAGGAGTACATTAAATATTTGACAATTTATTATTTTTTAATTTTTGCATTTCGATTCCTTAAAGTTAAGGAGGAATTCCTCTTTAATACCATTAAATATTTGATAATTTATTATTATTTTTTAATTTTTGTATTTCTTTCTATTTCTACCAATGCTTTCGTTTTTCCATTTTATTTTTTCATGGAATTTAAGAACTGCAATATTCTCATTTGAGTAAAGTTTGGTTAGGAGTGGAATTCATGTTTGTATTGTGTGTTGGATTTTTTAATATCTTTATTACTTAATCCTTATTTGAATTGTAACTGAGTTAAATATAATTGAATTGGTTAAGACATATATCTTTGATCACAAGGTTGAAGTTCAGACCAATAATCTTATCTGTTAAACTAAAACAAGAAAGAAAAAGAAACTTATGTGAATTTTTTCTAGTTAATAACCAAAATAATATAAACAAACAAAAAAAAATCTTATTAAACATAAATTTCTCATTCCCACCAATTAAATGCAGAAATTTTTCTTTTTTAAAAAAATCTTATTCTTCCCATCACTAGTTTTTTTTTTTTTTTAGAAAAAATCCCATCATTATATTAGTTGCTTCCAAAATCAAGCAGCTCCTCCATAGTTATCACAAGTACTTCGTATTCCATACTGCATTAATTCTTGATTTGGCAAAAGATGACGAGAAATGTGGTTTTGATCCCTAGAGGGAAAGAAAATGTTCCATTTGAAGAAAACTCTTTCTTCTAAATGTTTCCTTCAAAAATAGGCAATCACATCTTTCACATCCGACTCAACAATCAACCCTTCAATCCAACGCCTTTTGATGGCTATTACTTCAGCAATTTCTACCTTCAATATTTCAGAAATCATTTTTGCTTCAACAACTGTTATGATTTCTTTTTTACCTCTTTGATGGGTATGTTGTTATTCTGGTCCAATAATTTCTCGAGGGGAGGGTAATTTAGAGAGAGGATAATTTAGATATTATCCAAAAAAGAATAAAGCTTAAATTTTGTCTTGAAAAAATTCCATATCCACACATTTTATAGACACACACATATATATAGATAGAAAATGGTATTGATGTATAATCTGCGTTCTCCTGTTCTGTATTTCTTTGAAAATTTGGTGTGTGTGTCTCAGAGCTAGCTTCAATGGAGAACCCCAATGCAGTAGTGAAAATTGTTGAAGTTTGTAAGGTGTCTCCATCCTCACCTTCTCCATCAAAATTTTCCCTTCCTCTCGCTTCCTTTGACTGGATTTACATGAAGTTGCCTCCATTAGAGCGCCTGTTCTATTATTCAATCCCTCATTCTGCCTCTGATTCTTCATTGTTTTTCCACTCAATTCTAATTCCCAATCTCAAGCACTCCCTCTCTCTCACTCTCAACCACTTCCTCCCTCTCGCCGGCAACCTCCTCTGGCCGGAAAATTCTCCTCTCCCCTCCATCCTCTACTCCCCAAA